TATGGTGATTCATGTGTGCACAGAAGGTAACAGATACACAGCATTATTACCTGATTCCTTGAGCAAGTGTTATTTTATTACTCCTATTATGAAAAATAATTAATAAATCAAGAGTTTGAAAATAGCTATAATGATCCAAATCATAAAAAATTAGTAGTAATTAATTATTCATAGCCATAATCATCATTTCCTTAATTATTTATGTTTGTCTTTTTTAGTGGTTCTGATATACTTGGATTTGGATTAAATGATGGAATAGTTTTTCGTTATATACATCCAGCTGGATGCTGGCTTTGCCAGAGGGCATTAGAAGAGGGTCCTTCTCCTTGTCCTCCTAAGTCTTTAACTACTACAACCAGACATGAGCTAGCGCCTGTATTTTACCTGGTAGGCGATCACAACTTTATTGGCAACACCTAAATTGATTATTCTTTCTAGTATCCACATCCTCAAATATTATACTAGTATTTATTTACATTTTGACAAAATAATGTGTTTTTAAACATGATGATTTGAATTCTCCAATATATATCCAAAAATGATGTTTAAAAACAAACTGTTAAGTTAGAGTTTGAATGAAAATTATACATAATTTGATCAAACAAAAAAAAAAATGAGCAGCATCATGGTAAACATGTTCAAGATCATTTCTCCGGTAGGTGGCTTAATACAGGGTTTTCTAAACATGCATTGATATTCAACCATTAGGTTTAAGCATATATATGTAGCAAAAAGATTGATGACAAAAGCATTAGCATTTTCGGATTCATCATATTGCAGCGTAGGTCATATATAAAGCTCCAGAAAGGCTCACCCAAACATCTGTTAGATTTTAGAAAATGTGTGGGAGTCCAATTTGTTGATCTCTCAAACATTCCAACAGTGTCCTTCCCAGCTAATATCCTCTTCAACTTCTCATCACAAAGAATCTCCCTCTTGTTTGCATGATTGTAAACAACATCACAGCATAGTCATGCTCAAAGAATCTGATCTGATCCCTCACCCTAAACATTTTTTTTACCAAAAAAAAAAAAGGCGGCTAAAGACCTCCTTTTCTTGAAGAGAATTACTAGCAAATGATCTCCTTCCCAATGGAGGGAAGACACTGATCAGATATTGTGGACGAATATATAATTCATGTTCTTACTCGTGACAATTAAAAAAAAAAAAAACCTTTGCTGAACAAATGTTCTACTACTAATGAGAAAAACTCAAACATTCATCAAAATTTGAGAGGAGGCGCCATAAACATCCAAAAAGAGATGGTCATGGTTTCCATTTAACTTCATCAAGTTGAAGGCTGACTCGAAATTATCTATTGATAAATGATTTATAAGTCTAATATAAGTTTTCAAGAGAGACTTGTGTCATAATCCGATATTTAATATGGAATAATGTCTCCTGCCCTAAACTTTCCCGTAAAAAAAATGAGAATTTGCTTATATTTATAAAAAAATTGCATCAAAAGAGAAAGGAGGGAGTGGGAGGGAGTGTGTGCGATCTCCAACATTTAACGTTTGGGTGTGTGTGTCGCACAGTGAGTTTGAAAAAGGAGTTGGGAAGTCAACACGTTTGCATGCTGGGAAGTTTGGCGTCGTTTTACGATTTGGTTTTACGCAATGCGATGCGATCTCTACCAAATTGTTTGGTGGAGGCCGACGGGGCCCCATCCACTCATTATCTTCTCCTTGATTATTTTTTATTAATTATCATTTTGTAATTGTGGAAATTAGAATTGCATATCTTAATAACATAACATATATGTTGATTGGGTGTTAATTGTTGGGTTAGTCTTTTGAATTTTACATTTCTCTTTTTTTTTTCTTGTTGTAATTATTATTGTTCGTTTAACAATTTTAATTAATAAGCTCTGTTTGTTCTTAATCAGAATTCTTAACTAATTAAACGAACATTCGCCTCTGTTTTTTTTTCTTTTGTGGAACACAAAAATTAACTACGTATATATACATCATCTTCTCTTAAATAAATGTGACCATTCTTGTTAACTATGAGTCCTATTTAATGAAGCTTAATTTGGGAATAATCTTGCCTTATTTGTTTTCTAATTCTAATTTGAAATTAAAAAGCATGAATGAATTAATTTATAAGAACAAACTACCAAACCTAGCTACCTCTCTCCCAATGATCACAAGCATGTGAATGTGAGTTATAATATATAAAAAAACCACATATTTATAACCTATTTAATTAGTAATAGGTTGGATGATGATACTTAGGGGAGAGCGTGAGAGGTAGCTAGGCAAACTGAAACCGATATGTAGGATGATGAGCAAAACGTTAGTGCTTGGAGAATTAATGAGAAAGCCTATAATGCGGGTGCTTTGCTTGCAACCCTAATAATAAAAAGAAGCAAAAAAGAATGATAGCAAAGATTTTCATGCCACACGATCATTTCAATTATCATATATTATTCTTCCACTTACAACAATATATGATCTGCGTTTTCGGTTTCCTTTTTAATTACATACTCGCTTGTATTGGCACACAACAACCCATCGACAGCAAAAATTATGCGGTATTATAAATTATTGCTAGCTAGGATTTATATATATATATATATATATATCTACTGATCTTCATATATGATCATTTCAACAATAATAACGACCAACATATATGCTCTTCCTATGCTAAACAGATGAAAATATCAGAGAGAGAGAAAAAAAGAGTGAATGATCAGTACTGGATAGAGTTACAACCCAATTTGCCTTTTTTTTTTTTTTTGGTATTTGGTTATTAAGGGATGTCATCTCCTCCATATCATCCCCACTTTGACGTGCTTTGTTTGAGAATGGGGAATGTTGGTTGTTGAATGGCAGTGGCATGGTTTGGTATCTATCACATGGGGCTCTTGAAATGTGTTTTTATCGTCATCTCTCCTTTCCAATCCCCACCTACTGACTAAAGCCTTAAAGGGGTCTCCGCATCAAACATTCATTGGGCCTCTTATCTGCATCAAACAAAATTGCTTTTATACCCTTTCCACACAAATCATCTGGATGCAACCTGGTAAAGATTTACATGCGATGCGTGTAAATATGTGTGGCCGACGTCTGGTGCATGCCTGCAGGTGGCCACTGGCTGCTGGGTACGCATATATACATATGTATACAATTTTTCTTTTTTTTTTTTTGTTATGGATTTCGGAATTCTATTTTTCTTAATTAAACTAATAAACTTGAGTGATGTGTATACAAATTAAAAGGTGATTTAATTTAATTACCTTCGTCTTCTTTCCCTGTAGTTCAAGTTAGGCATTAGAAATGTCAGTAAGAGACTGATCAATTTGAAATATTGGAATAATTATGAATATTATTGTTATAGATTTCAAAATGAATATGTATAAAACTTTTTAAAGTGATTAGTTGCTCATGGATCATTATCATCTGGTAATTGGATATTAGAGCATACATATAACAAATTATATAAGCTTAATTAGCATATCTAACAAAATGAGGTGACGCATTGCAAAGGTTACTGCAAAAGGATATATATCTATGTATATATACTGGAATGATTATTCATGTTGTTGGAATATTTACCTATCATCCCTTCTAAATCATCTTAGTAAGCAGAGACATTACAAATAGTAACAATTAGATATGTAAATGATTCTACGCCTAACAATATATATATATATATATATATGTCATCGGATCCCTAGCCAAGCCCAAATGTATATATCCTTGTTCGTACTAAGATTAGGACCTATCAATTGCCCATGGATGCATGCTTACATGTGTATTTGTTGATGCAAATTAAGGATGCAATTCCAAATGCAAGTCAAGAATGAGTATTATTGTAACTAGCTAGCTAGGCGTCTCCAATTGGAATTAATTGTTTCTTTGAAAGTGTATTGGTGGCATTTAAGTACTAGTCACGTCCTGGAACTGCTAGGATCCATCAATCTCTTTGTTGTTGTTGTTGTTTTCTCCAGCTTCCATTTATCACATTCATCCTGTCACAGATTTCCTTCACTCATCTTAGACTTCAGAATCTTCAGCTTTTCATGGCAAAGAGGTAAATGTAAGACTAGAGAGTTGAAGCGAAAATTAGTAGTCATTTTTCTAGGTCTTAAAGTTGACATAAATTTTGGCCCAAAAAAAAAAAGGTTGAGATAAATTAGCAAGCAGTTGGTTTGGTTAGTTATTTGGTCATGTCATTTGAGTCTTATTGTTGTTAGGATTAAAAAAAAATATATCAAGAAATATAACATGGATATCAAGTTATAAATAACGATAGAGTTTATTAATCACGTATAATTCAATATTATAATATTAAGATATGATCGTAAAGATGTAAATAATACATAATGAAGCAAAATAAATAAAAACCCATATGGATGGAATTGGAAGAGGGATGTTAGTATGAAAAACTGGATAATGATAATTACGAATTTGCTACAGGATTTAGGGTTTCATTGAGTGAAAACGAAGAATCTAAAATAAAACATCGGGAATTAAGTTGTATTTTTCTTCCATTTATGATTAGGCAAGGCCCACAGTTGAAAGCGGAGAAAGGAGTATATTTATATTGGTACTTACCAATCCAACACAGAAACCGAAAGCCCAACTGAAATACAGACCTTTATGATAATTTTTTCTTTTTGGTGGAAAAACTTTCTTTATAATTGTAGTAGCAGTAGTAGTAATTTTTATTTGCGAGAAAATTGATTTGTGCATCGGCAGGCAACTGAAACAGTGGACGTTAATCAGTCAATAAATCATGATAAATGATTGACGTGTTAATTAAAAGCTAGTGTACATTAAAAGGATGAATCATGACTGGGTTTTTTCGAGTGTTGGATCTAAAACATGTTTTTTAGGCAGTGTGCTTAGTTTGGAAGGAAGGAAAAGATATAGATCCATTTATTATTACTATCACTTTTTTTTTTTTTTTTTTTTTTGATAAATAGAATATTTTTATTTATTCAATAGAAATTTAATTTTGCAAATTAACACGAAGCACACACCAAAAAAAAAAAAAAAAAGGTACCAAAACAAAAGGCAAAGGCATTAGCCATTAAGGCAAGAATAAACTCCCGGCCAGCAGCAGGTAACAGCAGCAGCAACACAAGCTCCAAAGGCAGCATGGTTTTCAAAGCACCTTAATTTCGTTTAATTTTCAGACACAGACACCCTAATTTCGTTTCCTTTTCAGACACATACACCCTTTTTGTTACCCTATCTGAATAGAAAAACAATTGAGGCTGTTCTCCAATATTCTCACTCATATAACCCAAATCACCAAAATTTCTCATTTATATACCCTTTTGTTTTTGTGATTCTTTGGTGTCTCTGTGGAGTGAGAAGAAAGGAGATGGCAGGAATCAGTGGAGGGTTCGAGACAGAGGCTTGGAGAGCTCATGCCTCCATGGCGTTGGTGCAACTCATCAATGGAGGCTATCATGTAATTACTAAAGTAGCCCTCAATGTTGGCGTCAACCAGCTTGTCTTCTGCGTCTTCCGTGATCTTCTTGCTCTCTCTCTTCTTGCCCCCGTCGCCTATGTTCGTGAAAAGTATGACGTTTCTTTTTCCATTTCTTTTTCTGGGTTTGACTCTGCTTGTTCTTAGCTATCATTATTAATAAATTGTATATTTAAAAAAAATCGGGTCCTTCCTTTTCTCTTTTTGGCATCTGTTTCTTATAAAGATGAAACTGGATATGGGCTCCTTTCTCTTGGTTGTAATGTTTGGATTTTTGTTCATTGTTTGAATCCACAATTTGAGAATTTGATGCGCTGTCTTAAGTTACATTCACTGTTCCAAATTGTGATTGACTCTGCTTGTTCTTAAGTCATGTTGTCTCACTTTCCCTCAGAAGGATTCGACCTCCTATGACTAAACGACTCCTCCTGTCATTCTTCTTTCTTGGGTTAACCGGGTGAGTACTGCTTCTCTAAACAGTCCTAATTGATCTGGCAATATATTATCTACATAAATTGGGCCTGATAAAACTTTCTGCTAGCTAACTTATATGGGTTTTGATAATTGGAATAGGATATTTGGCAACCAGCTTTTATTTCTCATTGGTCTAAGCTACACAAATCCAACCTATGCTGCTGCCATACAGCCTTCAATTCCAGTCTTTACCTTTCTCTTGGCTGTAATGATGGGGTAATGCCAACAACTTTATACTTTTTTTCCTAATATTTTTTTTTCATATTGGTTCATTTCTATATTCTATAAACACATGCATATATTTTGATATCCATTACTTTTTGCCATTTTTTTATGGAATTATACATGCAGTACAGAAAGAGTGAATTTGCTCAAAACTGAAGGTCAAGCGAAGGTTGGAGGTACCCTAATCTGTGTTTCAGGTGCAATATTAATGGTTCTGTTTCGTGGTCCAGCTTTGCTTGGACAAAAGAATGCAGACTTTGCTGCACAAAATGAAGTAAGTGCCAGGGGTCAACCAGAACCTGCTGGATGGCTTATGTCTAGTTTTCTTGAGTTTGGACTTGAACATTGGCATATCGGAGTTTTATGCCTGATAGGCAACTGTATGTGCATGGCTGCTTTCCTGGCTATTCAGGTATGCCATCATGTGGTTGATTTTTGGATGATTATTAATCCCCTTGTAGGAGGTTTTTTTCCCGCTTTTCTATAATTATTGTGCAAAATGAGTCAGAGAACCGAGACTGCTTTTCTGTAATTATCATGTAAAAGCTGTTCTTTGTTTGTAGTAGATTGTAAGTACTTGATTTTGGTTACTAATATTTTATTCCTTTAAATTTCTCTGAAGCTGTTAAAGTTGAGATAACTTAGAACAGGTAACAAGATTGTCTCATTGAAAGTTGTTTTATGGAATAGTTGTTAATGGAGCAACAATTTACGGAACAACTATTCACAGAACAGCTCCTTCATGGAACACCAACTTCATAGAACAGCTATTCATAGAACAATTTCTCCAAGGAACAACAACAACACATTTACCGAAAGCTTTTTAATTGAAAATTGCTTCACTGAGAAATATTCTACAATAGATGTTTCACCAAATGTTATCTCACCAAAAAAAAAATGAAAATAATCCCAGAATATGACAGGTTCTTTGGTTAATTCCACTATTGGGATATCTCGGAGAGCTTGGCTTGGTGGATCAATATGAAGATAGTTAAGAGGTCTCGTTTTAACCTTTCTTTGAAGTATGAGTGTTTCTTCTTTCTTTTAGAATAAATAGTGAACTTCTATGTTCACTATACCTATCACCAAAAGCTAACTAAACTCCCATTAGACAATGCATTAACACCTTTTGTAAGTATCGGTTCCATCATTTTTCCTATTCAATACTCAAGATATGTAACTCCTATTGTTGAAACCAATAAGTAGGAGTCCACAGCTCATTTGGGGACTTTTGGAGATTTTGGCAAATTCATTCAATTCTCTCTCAAATTCTTTCTGCAATTCTCTCTTCCCAAATCCCTTTCTCAGCCTTATTCTCCTCTCTACTCAACCTTGCTTCACCGTCTACTCCACCTGTTGCTGCACTCAATACTTCAGGGTCTACTTCAGTCTTCCTCTCTTCCATCTCCTAGCACATCCCGTTTTACTTGTTTGCAACACTTCCTAACCTCAGCAAAGAACCTTTATACATAGATTAAATGCCATAAATCATTTGCTGGAGGCATTACTCTGTTTGAGCAAAATAAATAAAAAACAGTCCATGTGGTGATGAATATGAGTTGAGGTTTGATATGCCATTCTTGTTCCCTGACCACTTTGATCTGTGACTCATTAGATTTTTAATGATTCAATCCCTTCCAGTATGAGGCTTTAAGATTATATAATTAGGTTCATCTTGTCTGTAGCCAACATTTTGATGAAGCTACTGTTTCCTTTAATCATCCATTTGGCATTGGTTTCTGTTTTAGCATTTAAAATGCCTTTAGGTCCATTGCAATGCTTTGCAATGCATGTTTTAATCATATCTTGTAGTACCAACTTGTGGTTCTTACATACTGTCTTTGCTTAGGCAACACTATGTATTTATGAAATATCTACCTTTTGCTTAGTGGTTTTCACAAGGAGTAATGGAAGTGATTTTTATAGATTTTCATTATTAACAACTACATTAAATTTCCTGAAAAAATAGTGCTGACTTATTTTATTTCTTGCAACTATATTACTATAATTTGAATTTTGCATGTGTTTCGTCATATAACTAATATTTGCTTATATTAAATGCACTTTTTTTAACAATTTCAGGCTTCGGTTTTAGCCAAGTATTCTGCCAGTATTTCTGTCACAGCCTTTTCCTATTTTTTTGGTGCTATATTGATGGTAGCAACATCCCTTCTTATGACCAATGAGTCAACGGACTGGAGTATGACACAGTCTGAGCTTTTTGCGGTCTTGTATGCTGTAAGTTTCTTGTGGACTTGGTATTATCTCAAATCTTAAAAGCTTTGCACGTCAATTTATTAAAAGACTAGCCATTATCAAAGCTGTGGTTTATCTGAGTTTGAAATGTTATTTGATGTGTGTGGCACAGTCTGAGCTTTTTGTGGTCTTGTATGCTGAAGTTTCTTGTGGACTTGGTATTATCTCAAATCTTAAAAGCTTTGCATGTCAATTTATTAAAAGACTAGCCATTATCAAAGCTGTGGTTTATCTGAGTTTGAAATGTTATTTGATATGTGTGTGTGTGTGTGTGTGTGTGTGTTTGTTTGTTTTAAAATCTTTTGGGCCAATGCTTGATTTGTTAGTTTAACAACCAAGACCGAGGTTCATTTTCGATTGTTTTAGTATTTTGATTGTAGAGTTTAATTATAGCAGATGGAAATGAAGGAAACAAATTCATGTAATTAAATACCATCCAGTTTAAGAATTGGTGTGCTAATATGGGTTTATTTGTCTATTAGGTGTTGTAAAAAGAAACTTAATAGATAAATGGTAAATTGCTGTAACTCCCCTGATGTTTTTCGAAGAACACACTTTCGTCCCCGCTATTTGGCCGACACTCACCTCCTCCTTGACACACCTTTTAGGCACATAAGTGTAAGAAAAGTTACCATAGAAGGTGGTAAGGCACTTCCCTGTAGAAGGCCCTGTAAAGTAAAGGGAAGCACATGATTTCTTGGAGAGAGAAGCACTAAGTATGGACATAGATTTCAATAAGGAAAGTGTAAGAAAACTGATTGTAGAAGGGGTAACCGTGGGTTTTCTCAAAATGTGAGAACATTAGGTATGGTTAAACAGATTTCTACTGTCTTTGGGGGTTTGCAATCTGGATTTTTAAAAGCTACCTATGGTGGATGATGGAAATCCCTTCTGGTCACCAAGAAAAGAGGGAAACAATTAAAAATTGACATCATGGAAGTAAGAATAATGTAATAATGTCCCTGTTATGGTACTTATTTGTATAAAACTTAGCTTCCTACCAAATAGGTAAACGTGAAGCTATGGCTATTTGGCTTTTGCAGGGAGTTGTTGCATCTGCGCTTAACTATGGACTCCTGACATGGTCGAATAAGATCTTGGGGCCTGCTTTAGTTGCTCTTTATAATCCACTTCAACCTGCAGCATCAGCTTTTCTGTCCAGGATTTTCCTTGGAAGTCCAATTTATTTGGGAAGGTCTTATTTCTGTCTCTTCCACTACAAATTAGATCTTAATCTCTCTTCAAGTACAAGATAGTGCTTAATTTTCTTCACTTCGTTTCTACGCGGGTGTGCACTTATTTGGTTTCTTTCATGTGGTAACAGTGTTATTGGGGGATTTCTAATAGTTGCTGGTCTATATATGGTCACTTGGGCATCCTACAGGGAAAGACATAATTCTATGGGGATGATGGCTCAGGTTGTTCGGTCCTCTGAACCACTCATTCACAAAGATGCATTAATTAACAACAACCCTTGTCAGAGAGGACACATTTTCTCGGGGACATCTGCCTTATTACCAAAATCCAGTGATTAACTATGTAATCAGATGTGATGTAAAGTTCCCATGAGCTCCTATCAACAGGTACATTTTATAAGATCAAATGGTGTCACGAGGCATGTCATTGTCAACTTTGATGCGTATGCATAGCAAAAGAGAAAATCATTAAATACAACTTCAATAGGCAACATAGGACATGCTGGGGATTTCCCCCTTGTTCTTGGAAACTCAGTTTTGCACATTTTTATGATTTGTACACTTGATGCAATAAATTAGTTTATTGTATTCAAATATTTGCCTAATTCCAATGGCAAATTTTGTTATGAACACAATGCATGGACACTTATTCTTCTGTCTCAGCCCTCTTTGACAAGAAGTTTTTTAAGTTGGTCCGTCATAGTGGAACATGATTTCAGAGCTTTTCTTTGGCAGTTCACTGATCCTTGAGAGCGTGATTAGGATTTTTCAGGTTGTGAATGGTTAATAGGCCATTGCATTGCCATTTAAAGAAAGGAAGACTCAAAATTTTTCCTCAATATTATTCCACTTTCACTTGTCCAATAATTCGTTGATTGACTGCAGCACTTGATAATGTACTGGAGAAGGGTAGGGATTTTTGTGAAAAACAATGGGAAGTGGCAAAAAACAGTGTTGCTCCATAGCCCCGTATTGAACAGTACTGCTTTTGAGCACCATAAATACTATCACTGTTCAGAGAGGGCCTGCATATCACCGATAATCAACTTGTCGTTGGTTCTGGAAGGAGTATTACATGGACAATGGGTGTTGCATCGCTGGAAGCTGGGGATTCATTTTCAAGTAGACTGGGGATCCGTGCAGACAAAAATTGATCCAATGATTCTTACTGCCATTTTTTTTGTATGTGCGTTATCATGTTTTAGTAATTGGATGCCTAGATTTTTCCTGAGGCCATATCTCCCTCTTTTCCGGCATGACAGTGCATCCGCCACATCTGTTCTTAATATACCATCTCGTTTCCAGTTAAAGCGCTGGAGTCCTATCAACTCAGGTGAGATCTTTTGTATGACTTGTATTCTTTTGGCATAGTTGTGCCACTTCTCTTTGCTCTGTTTTCCGTGTATGACTTATATTAAGCAACGCAATCAGTTTCTCCTGACCAAGGTCGCCGCTTACAATGCATTTTGGAAAGTAGAAGCAACTGGCTTCACCCCCCCCCCCCCCCCCGGTCAATGTTTGACTTGAAAGTAGTATTTAATCCACAAACCATCAGAATTAATCATTTAGGCGGAGAAATTTTTCTACCTTTCGGATTACCTCTTCAAAATTAAGCATTAAAGCCATTCTATAGAGAGAGAGAGAGAGAGAGAAAGAGACAACTGCTTTATCTCTAGTTAGTTTGTTTGTACCGACATTAAAATCCAAAGTACCCGAAGTAGTCACTACCAGGATATGTAAGGAAAGAGATGACAGGAGAATAGTTAACACAAGCATTTCAACAAGATTAATAAACGTTCCTCCATCCCATTTCCCCCCACATTTGGCATACGCAAAACTTCAATTCTTCCTTCGTGAAGCCCTAGTAAACATTTCTTTGATGTTCCTTGATTCTGTCTCTACTTTAGCCTTTTTAGCTTGCTTTACATTTGTTGCAGTCTTTTTCTCCCTCGTATTCTTACCCTTAGAAATTAAAATACAATAAAAAGATTATGCATCAATCTTCAAGAATTGCAAATATAAAAGCTTACTCAACAAAAGCATTTTTAGTATAAGCAATATCCTAGTGGTAGCTGCATCCCACATCCTACCTCAAACAAGGAGGCCAAACAAGACGAGCAATTGGCAAGCCTTAATAAACTACTGGACCTTACGTAAGGCCGTTCATACCTGTGAGAGATTAGAACCAATAGGACTTTCTATGGCAGTTGCACACACTTCAAAATCTGATGCCATTCTTTTTGCCTCCAGTAAATTCAATCTGCAAAAACCTCAGAAATATGTAATTCAAATGCATCACAGGAAACCACTCTATGCATATATTCATTTTATCTGTATATTTCTTAAAACAGAATAAATGGAGTTGAATAAAATATTCCTATACATTTGAAAAATTCAAAAAGTTAGAGACGATACTTAAAATGATTACACAAAAGCTTCAACCAAGGCTCATCCTTCAAGTACTCCCCCAATATTGATACAGCATCAGCCACTGCATCAATAGAATAAGTAAATCAAATTGTGACATATGTTGTTAAATCAACATAAATTTCATGTCAAATCAGACACTCAACAAGTTTTATGAGATATGGAAACTAAAACTGTTATTTATAGCTTTTATTCAAAGCCAATGGCTTCTCAAATGAGCTCATCAGACACATGCTCACATGCAAAACACACAATAGTATATATACCCATATACAATCCCTTTTAGCTGATAGCTTTACCATCCAATCATCTCAGCACCAAATAAATATATAACTAGTTGTTGTCATCATCCAGTTATAGTCCTAAGAAAGTGAAATTTGAGAGGAATTAATTGGAAAGCAATCTTTTACATTTTACATTGCTTGAACCCTCTAAAGACTTAAACCTACAATTTTGTTTCACTTTTCAATCCCTTGATATTGCAGCAGAATCTTTCATATGAATTTCTACCACCTACATATGTCTATCGCGCGTGTGTGTGTGTGTGTTATGTGCATAAGGTGAATGCATAAATTTTATGAAAATACATAGCTGAATATAGTAATTTCCCAGAAAAACATACATGTATCCTTCTGTTCACGTGCGGCATAGTTTTTGTCCAATGCTGGTAGAGTCTGTTTTAACTGGCAAACCTGCAGTTCGAGAGACACTATATTTAAGAAACATGAAAGCTTTCTATAAATCACCAAGCAGTTTTGACTTATGTGTGTATGATAACGGAAGCAAGTAGCACAAAATAACAGATAATGTTGAAATGAGTTTTTTTTTGGCCAATAAATGTTGCAACAAGTTCAAGAGCAAAGATCATGAAACATATTAAAGACAAAAATAAAATTTGCAATTTTATTCCCCAAGAGGATAATTAATGCAAAAAGTATGTTCAATTGACCTACAAAAGATAGGTATCTTTTTTCCAATTAAAGACATCAGAACAGCATAACAAAGCCTCCACACTAAGGCTCTGTACTCATCCACGGTAATATAACTAAACTACCAACAAAAAGGAGGTTTTAAACATTTCATTGATTAAAAAAGAATAAAAAAAAGTTGGAACAGAAGAAGGCTCACCTTGTAATATAACCACACTAAAACCTTCATGTCATCAAGCCTAAAAAATTTTGATGATCCAATTTCTGCATATATCCAGAGCAGGTGAGAATGATTAATTATTTTCATTATTAAGTTATTGCTGTCATTTTAACATATAACAATCAATATGTTAGCATCTGTACTCCTGAGAGTCAGCAGCCAAGCTTTGACACTCATATTTAACCATTTCAGGTTCTGAAGTCATTTGTTCTTATTCTAAAAAGTTTAACACTTCTATAGAAGAATATAAAGCAATCAAGTCAAATGCAACTGCAAGATCATTTAAACCCCCTAACTGCATGCCAAAATCACAATTCACAAAAAGATATGCAAAATGATATGCACAAAATAACTTAGCTGATATTATCTTAGAATATCTTAGAATTATTCTCAAACAGATATTCACAGGAATATAAAGGTAGTAGGAAACCTTTGATTTCACAAACAACTTGCATACAGTTCTCTGCAATGGAGAACAAATGTTGATATCCAGGATAGTCATTAATGAAGAGTATCTCATCTAATTGCCTAAACTTTCCAGGATCATCCACTTTCTGCGTTCACATCAAAACTGTATCATTATTGGTGAAGAATCCAGATAAGAGATTCATAGATTTGAAAAAAAAGATGACAAAAAAAAAAAATGAAATCAACAACTAGGCAAAATCATGCAATGTAAACATAGGTAAGGAGCCACCATTAAAGCACCAAATCCCAATATCACCTAAGACAGTAGGCACCATAACATTGAAGAAAGCAGCATATTAGGAAATTGACTATTACAATAATGAAAGACAAGATGAAAGTTTCAAATTGGTAAAAAAGGCAGACATATTGTTGAAACAAGATATTACATTACTGCATAGAGAATAAGAATCTTGCAATCCTCACAAGTTATTATTGACGGATTTTCATTTGTTTTAGTAGAGATTAAATGCCCTCATTTATATAAATAAAACCTGACTAAGCAAGTGCCATCTAAGTAAATTTCATGCAGGGTTTGATATTTCAATGGTGCAGTTCCTCAAGTGTCTTTAGTGTCTGTTGAGGCCCTTGGCTAGCCTCAAAGGGATAATGCATTGTTGAAGAAGCCATGAATTGAGGCTCTAAGGTGCTGTTCGAGTGAATGGTCTTGTCAAAGTAAAAAGGCAAGCATCTCCAGTTAGGGGCCACTAGCAATGATCATACCTTCATTCTTGCTTCTTCAAAGATAGGCAACATGATGAAAACAGGATCAATAGGAGTAGCAATATATAGGCTCCCATCTGCATACAAAGTAATAGCAAGGGAAGCAAGTAAGAGTAAAATAAAAAGCAAGGTAGTCAGGGGGACAGCCTACTTTTGGCATTATAAGATACATGTTAAACCATGTCAATTGTGCTCCAAATAAGGTTTGCAAGTCATGCTCCTACTAAATTCCATCAATTATGGATTTATGTGTAGGCATATTTAGTTTGACTCACAATACATGACCTTTTTTTTTGTTTAAAAAAAAGGGTCATAACACCCTTCTTAATCATTCTCTTTAAACCCTATAATAGCTGTCGACCCCAACTTAAACAATCCAACACCAAAGCAACTATTAAAAACTTGAACTTGAAACCCTAAAACTTAGTGGGTTTTTGCTCATGAACTAAAAACAGCACCTAGGTCATTTTTTTTTTCTTTTCCTTAGTCCAAAAGCGTGTAAAATATATAAATCAGTGAAGGGAAATAGAAGGGTTAAAAGCGTGTAAAATAGAAGGGTTACCTTCAGAAACGTAATTTCCCAAAAACCAAGACCCATAAGATTGCTTAAACCAGTGAAGTTCTTGAAGCAACCCATTACTCAAAAGAAAGGATGTCCTGACTCCTGTCAAATAAATTAAAACCATAACCTTAAGGAGGGTCCAGTAATAAAACGAAATTGAGTAGGATGCCAGAGAATAAATGTCCCACATTCTTAAGCATAGCAATGAAAATTACCTGATTTGGGGTGACGAAGTGATAGTAAACGAGCGGAACCGTCCCCGTTAGCGCCAGGGTCTGTGACGAAAGGGCAGAAATCTTTATGATAAATAGCAACAGAGAAGAAACTGAAAATTCTAAGAGAAGAAGAAGAAGGAGAAGAATTGTGAGGTACCGGGAGCAATTAAAAGACGGCATTCGTCAACACCTTCCCACCAACAGCCCATTAGTCAAAGTCAGAGAGATGAGGCAGAGCCAAATTCTCAACTCTGCTACTCTTGCTCTCAGGATATTAGAATAGATTTGGGAACTTTGGAGGTGAGGAATGGCCAGTCAGTGTCGAGCGTTTAGCGACGCAACGTAGTATACTGTATCGTATTCTTTGGGCTGAAAAGTGGAAGTGAGAAGGCAGATGATGGCGATAAGGAAGAGTGAAGATGAAAAGGCCCCCACTAAGTCTGGAATCTGGGTAATGAATTCACGCTGTCTGCCCCGACCTCGACAAAGATTTTCAACTCTTTAAGCCCAATTTCATACTACAGGGCCAAATTTATACAAAAGTAGTATTAAAAAAGAGTTAAAATAGGGCCTGGCCCTATGTGGAAAGGTTTGCGCAAGCCTTTTTAAGCACAGAGCTGAACTGAATCCAGATGTAGGCCCACATTTCTGATCCATGGACCATGGTTACCCATGTTTCACCACTTTCAAGTTATGTACAAATTGCCCATTTAAAAAAGGAAAACAAAAACATTAAAAAAGTTGCATCTCATATGTCTACCAATGAAGTCAATTATATCAAAGAAGATAAAAATATATTATTCTCACTAAACCAAAGGAAAAAAAATAAAAGTTTCGCTAAATATATACCTTACCTTGTTCAATTGTCTCGTAAGGTAACTACTTACAATTTAGTCAGAAACGTACTGCGATTTCTATTCATTCCAGATGTGAAATTGTTCCTACTTTCTATAGCAACCAAAAAACAACAAAAACAAAAACGTTTAAACCTCTATGACAGACACTGATTCAATGGGTGAAATACATAAAGCAGGCTTCCAATGTTATATATCACCAGCACAATGGGTGCCTGATTTTGCTGCAAGGATTTTGTAAAACCCAGCAAAAGAATGAGTTAGCCATTCCATCATGATCCAATTCATATGGTGATCTCATTTACCATTTACTTGCTAACAGAAAGCCATGTGAAGGTAATCGACCAGAATCCGCTATATCCATTGCATATCAATAGACAGTTGATATGGCCACTTAACCAGGACGAAGGCCTTGCAATAAGTCCATCAGCTACCCAACCCACTGATTCACTGTCGATTTTAACAGATTGAACTCCCTTTGTATATATTCCAGAGATATTTGTAGCCTCCCCCCTAATCTGCAGTCACTAGAAGCACCACTTGCTTCGATCCCTGCATTCCTCTCCAACCAGTACAAATAATTTACCTGGAACAGTGACTTGAGCATATCTTGTGGTGATGAACTTTCTTTAAGCACTACCTGATTTATGCAAAAAATTCGATAACACAAAAGGAATTAGTATGGTCGTCTTTATTATAATTCTTTTTGGGATGGTTAGTAATTTGCCCTTCGATTATCATTTTCATGCCTCATCAAAGTAACAGAAAGATAGCAGCTAACCTATAGCATTACATTATCATATTTTTATCAAAGATGTCTTCTACAAGAGCCTAATTTATGACTTAACTACTAAATAATATATTAATTGAGGTCCTCCTATTCTGGTGGAAAAAATAAAGTATTCAAGAAATTCAAGACCAAATTGTGTTTACCAAGAAATTAGTAAGGGTGGAAAATAAGAAGATATCAACAAGGGAGAAGAGAAGAAATCAAGCTAAGTCCTCTCTCCCAAGAACAAGTAAAGAGAGAAGGAATGGAGGCTAAAAGCCACAATGGTTATTTACTTACAGAGAATTTTCCTTCCTGCTCAGTCAGAATGTAGCCTTCATCTTTATACAGACTGAATAGTGCTTGTGCATCCTCCTTGTTGTTTACAATATCACTGAGTTTGGACCCCAATTGCAGCCAACACTCAATTTCAGTAGCCGCCTGCTTTGCTTCTGAAGGAGTGCTGGTGATAGTACAACCGATTGTTCCTGAAAATGGAAATTCAGGATAGAATCTACCAGATGATACACTGACAAATTGTTACAACCAAACTTATATATGTTTTTTGCTCATAACCTACTTCATTAGTCAAAGATTTTAGAAATTTTTGAATGGTAAATTGAATATTTTAGTGCAGGGGTAAATTTTACAAAGTCAAATTGATAAGAATGATTGGAAGAGTGTTGAAGATGTTATCGCATTCTTGACCCATAGACCAGGCTCCTATCCACCGCCAGCTGAATGCAACATGAAGGACTAGAAGTCTTGAGCCATGGTAACAGTACAAGTTCATATTCTTTGAGAACCACAATTATAAAGGAAAGCTTCAAAGGAGTTATCTTTTAATTGCGCAAGAAAATTAGTTAAGCAAGCCAAAAATGAAGAGATTTTTGAATGCTTCCTTTTAATGAGTAATGGTGTATGATCTTTTTTGAATTTAGTATATGCCAAAATGCATCTGCAGTATTATATAAGAGGTATTCTCATTTAGTAAATTATCTGTGATGCAGTTTGTTCCATTACTAACCATAACATTGGGCAGATGTGCTTGTTTATTCTCTGAAGTTTTAGCCTTCTTAATCTTTTAGGTTATCCAAGTTTCTACTAATTCAAAAATCACGATATGGATTCAATATAACGAGGCAACCTAGAAAAACATCTCTGTTAAAGACCACCTGAAGTATTGACCCTAATCAATCAACCATATTCTTATATTAATTTTGTTCAGTATAGGACTAATTAGTAGTAATTATATTTCGAGAGAGCTTAGAGAGAAAGAGTAACCCACTCCGTTTGCAGACAGTAAATTAAGGAATGGTACAGCTGGAAAAAGGGGTTCCTCATTGTTGACCTCTTTGATTGAAGGTGCCTGGCGGCTCAGGAGATATTTGCTGAAAACCAAACCTGTTAAAACATTGAAGGAATAGGCTTTCCATTATATAATGAACTAGAACCCTCATTTAACAACAATTTTAGGACAGATATATTACTTGCATGATACGGATTTAAAGTCCTCAGTTGAATAGATTGATATAACTTCAGATTGCATTACATATGGATCCAAGTAACCACACCAAACAAAGCAAGGGCAAGAGATGTAGATGAGCCTATACAGTTAGCCAATGCTATACCAAGCAATTCCAATGGACTTGCTAACCATTCCCTGAGCTTCACCCTTTGCAATTACCTACAATAACTAATTACCTTTAGTAAAGACATAATATAGGCCATGTGCCCATGTCAAAGCCAAAGTCACAATATCATTAACAGGAATGCCACTGTCATGCCAACTCCAATTTGATTATAACTAAAGAAAGACACCATTGGGTATTCAAAACTGCATACCATATCAGATATTAGGTAAAAAACAATAGGAATAAATAATGCCTTACCTCTGCAAAGTTCCTTTGAGCAGCAAAACCAGCATAGAAACAACTTCTAGTAGCCGCCTGGAAATGATCAGTGTCAGATTTCAGCAACCAAACACCATTATATTGATCAACATAAGAAATAATGGCAACAAGGACAACGTGGTACTTTTTTTAGAACAGCATGAAAGATAGAAGAACATAGTTTTAATTTTAGGATAATGGTGGAAAATAACTTCAATACCTGGATGAGAGCAGCTGCTGATCTTCCAGCCCCAGCAGCAGCACCAATGAGAACAAAGAGATGGGGAAAAGCAGGGGTCAACAATTCCAACCCAAAGGCAGCATTTTCAAGGAGATCAGCAAACAACCTCCATCCTTTAGGATTGACATCAAAATGCCTTCCATATTTGGACAACATGATTTTACTTAAATACCCAATTCCATCCTTTAACACCCAATTGATAGCAGCAGTTGTGGGAATAGCTCCTTTCCCCAATCCGACAGCATAAAGCAACGCCTGAACAACAGCAAACAAAAGTGACCACCAAACGTTTTACCAAATCCCTAAATCAGAAAATAAGAGCAAGAAATTAAGACATAATTATTTGGGTGGCGAGAACACCGCTGATTTGGCTAGCAACGCCCTGTACCCCTCGCCAAAGAGAGTAATCAAGATAATCACTGGTAACGCTGTTGAGGAAACCTTCAGGGAGCAACAACCGCATTACAAGGTTTCTGCATTGCCACCAAATAGTTGACAGAGACAACGATTTTGTTAAACTCGCTATCCCATTCGAACCAACAAATGCATCCTCGGAGAAATCAGGAATGAGCTTAGTCCACTTGCTCCCTCTCATTTCCCAAACGACGTCGTCATCCTCCTCGGCATTCCCATTAGTTCTTGCGAGGGTGGAGGATAATTCAGAAGGGCAGAAGCAAGCAAAAAGTGAAGAAAAGAATAAAAGAAAAGGATATGAATGAGAAGATGAAGAATCGTCGTTCCACCGCCAAGGATCAGACCCGAATGGGCCATCATCATCATTGTTGCTGTTGTTGTTCTTGCATTCACAACCGCCATCAACAGATAGCAAAGGGAAGGCCACGGAGTTAGCAGTAGCCTTGTTATTAATTGGTTTAGAAGACCCCCTGACGGTCAAACGGGAAAAGAGAAACGGGCTATGGGCAGGTAGCTTGAGGGAAAAGATGACGAAGGGAAGGCGAAGGGTGAAGAAAGGAAGACGGAGGCGCAACTGAAAGTGCAGGACATCTCTCTCGCTCCTTCTCTCTTTCACTAACAGATAAAATCAGCGTCCCTCTTCTTTGTTGTTGGGTCGAATCGAATCAGGTTTCTTGACTAAAATGCTACAACTAACTCAGTCTCCATTTGGTGATGGTAATGGAAACTGGGAAGGAGTGCAGACTAGGGTGGAAGAGCGTATGAAGTCGGAGCACAAGGATGGATTTTTGCGGTTCTGTTTGGGCGCTGGCTCATATATTTTTGTCATAAGAGACTTTAAAAGGGGAGAGGAGAGAAGAGTCCTTTACCACTATTATATAAAAGCCAGGAGACACTTGTACAAATTGGTACAAGAATTAAAAAGAATCAACGGCGGCTTCATATCTACCCTCAATTAGAGAGATCTTAGCTTCAATATCCTTTCATGCATGATTAATGTCATTGTCATATAATCAACGACAATGTATAAGCCTAGGCTAGCCTTATAATGTACTACCAAGCCATAAAAATGAGGGATTTGAGTACCCTAATAGCTATGCAAAGAGCCATTCCGACTAGTAATTTTCCTTGATGTTATACCAACGGATGCGCCACAAGAAAAATAGAGGGGAAGGCAGAGTAGAGTTCCCCTTGTTTGGAGTTTTCAACT